TGCAAAAGCATGCAGTCTGTTGTGCATTGTCACAGGTGCGTGGGTTCTGTTGTCCCCATGACTTGATTCTTCATTGTGATATTCCACTCTTTTGTTCGTCTGTATAATCTGTAGAGGGACAAGTATCTCGTGTTATCGTAGAAGCATGGTAAGTCGGGACTTATAGTCATTCATCAGCATTAGGTGGTTGAAGAGCATGTAGTTAAATCACTGCTGCACATTAATCAATATGTAATTTTTTTTGTTTTGCCTTGTTGAGAAAAAAAAACAAGATCTCTCCATATTCTTCTTGAACCTAGTTCATAATTCTCTTGAATCCTAAGCCACACATCGCACTCCAAGTAGATGAAAAATGATATATCCCTTACTTGATACAGATAAACGGGTATCCCCCGAACCTGCTATTCCTCATCCTCATCATCATCAAACCCCAACCCATCCACACGCCCCAAAAACTCCAAGTTGCCCTCTCCCGCCATAAGCGCATCAACATCAATACCACCACTGGTAAGATACCTCGCACTAACCCCCGTATTAATCCTCTGGCTGAGCAAACTCCTCAACTCAGCACGCAGCGCCTGCATCTCTGCCTTCGTCATCTGACTCGCCTCTCTCTCCTTCTTCTTGCGACCGGCACCACGGCCCCGTTTCCCTTTTGCTTCCTTGTCGAACTCCTCACTGTCGTAATCGACGCCGAGGTCCTCAGCGGCCTGGCGGAGGACGTCGTCGCCGCTGTTTTTCTTTTCCTTGGCGATGACGGTATCGGCGAGGCGCTTGGAGATTGTGGCGCGGGGTTTGAGGCGCGACACGATGCGGCGGTCGATGTCGAGGGTGCGGATGAAGAAGGATGTGTTTTTGGTCTTGGGCGCCGAGGCCGCGCGGGCATGCACTTTGGCGATGAGACGACGGACACCGGCGACTTCTTCGGGTGCGCAGATGAGGATACTGGCGCCTGAGGCGTCGGCGCGGGCTGTGCGGCCGGAGCGGTGCACGTAGGTGTCGGCGGCGCGGGGGAGGTGGTAGTGAATTACGAGTTCGACTTTAGGGATGTCGAGACCTCGGGCTGCGACGTCCGTGGCAACTAGGATTGATCCTGGTCGTTCTTTGAAGCGTTCGATTGAGCGTAGACGGGCTTTTTGCGGCATGTTGGAATGAAGTGGGAGAGCGGGGAGGTTGAGGTTAGTTAGGAAGGGCGTTATGCGTCGGACGGCTGAGATGGAGTTTGTGAAGACAAGGGCGCGCTTCTTGGTGTAAAACATGAGAAGTGAGTATAGGTAGAGATCTTTTTCGGGACCGGCACATTCGATGAGACCTTCCTGAAGCTTGCTGGCCATTTGCGAGGTCGGGTTGGTGTCGATGAACATGGGCTTCTCTTCGCGGAATCGAAGCTTCTTCAAGAGATACTCCATTGACTGTTGTTGGTTCATCTGGTCACCACCGAATTTGGCCTTGCCGGCAAGTTTTCTCTGAAGATCCTTTCCAAAAGTTGCTGAGAAGACAAGTGTCTGGCGGTTGACTTCGGGTGTTTCTGCTGGCTCAGCGTTCTCATCTACCTCATCATCTGGCTCGAGTACCTTGAGGATATCGTCCATTTCCTTGAAGTGGCCCTGGCTTAACAGGCGATCAGCTTCGTCGACGACCAAGAACTTGATCTGCTTGAACTTTGCGAGCAAGCCTTGGCCACTGCTGATGACTTCCCACAGCCGTCCTGGGGTTCCCACAACTATATCTGCCTTTTCCAGTTGCCTACGCTGCTTCTGCACGGACAAACCACCCGTGATGGAGGCAATGTACGGAGAGTCAAAGTCACCCTTTGCACAAAGCTTAACCAGATGTTCGTTGATCTGATGGGCAAGTTCTCGAGTTGGCGCGATAATGAGGGCGAGCGGAACCTTGTCTTCGGTGTTTTTTGATGCTGCACGACCGGCGAGATATGACTCTATAATGGGAATACCAAAGGCAAGCGTCTTTCCTGAACCGGTGGAAGCCTTTCCGATGACGTCTCTGCCAGCTATAATCTCGGGTATAGTTGATACTTGAATGTCGGTGGGCTTTGAAAACTTGAGCTTCGCCAATGCTCCGAGCATTTCCTCGGACAGGTCCAACTTTGCCCAAGCAGATACGTCTTCTTCGTCACTGTCGTCCATTGGTTGGTTTGCAAGTATATCGAAGGCGCCAGGACCAAACGTCTCGCCGTCATCAACATCTTCTCCATCGAATTGGTCATCTTCGTCATCATCGTCTTCGTCGTCGTCCGCTTTGTCATGTCCATTTGGCTTGGCTGTTTGCCCATTTGTCTTCTTCTTCTTCTTCTCCTCCTGCTTCTTCAATCTCTCTTCCTTGAGTCTCTTCTTTTTCTCCTTCTTGGTCTCCTTCTTTGTCTCAGACTCTCCGTTCGTTGCAGGCGTGGGCGCTTCGGTCTCGACTTCCTCGTCGCTGAAGCCTTCCCATTCCAACTCTTCATCTTCTCCCTGTACCTCAGGCTCCTTGCCCTCATCTTCTTCAGACTCCTTGTCCTCATCTTTCTCAGCCTCTTGGTTCTCCCCGAAAGTTATCTTTTCAAGACGCCGAGCCTCGTCTTCCTCGCGCTGCCACGCCTCCTCGACATCACGCGCTACTTCGTCTTCCGTCTTTGTAGTCTCGAAATGGAAAGCGCCAGTAACAGGATCCTTTACAATTTCAACATCGTCGATTTCTTCGAGTCCGTAGAAGCCTTCAGTGTCCTCTAAGCGATCGGGCATGGAAACAGCCTTCCACCCTAGCTCGTTGAGCTGCACTCTGCGTTTTGTCTTGGTAGGTAGAGGTTTAGGAAAATCATCGACCTTCTGGCGTTTGTGCGCCTTGTGCGCCGCCTTCTTCGGGGCAGCATGGGCGCGTTTCATTGTGGCGCGGAATTGCGATTGGAAGTGTTTGTACGCGAGGGTCGAAGCATGCGATGGTCTGGAAACTTTTTTTTGGAGAACTGTCGGCGTTCGGGAGTCCGCCGCCCCACTTCGCCCTGCAGATTGTCTAGCCCGCACTTCACGTGCGACTCACTCTCGCATTGACTAAATTGCGACAATATCTAGGCAGAGGAAAACAAAAAGGAAGAAAGAGTCGGACTAGACCGCCGGGTGTTTGTCGGGTAATTATATTGCAGGTGGCATTTGTCTTGCATCCAAGGCCTCCAAGTTATCAAGACAGCAGACGAGTAAATTCAGAAAACTGTATCACCAGTCATACAGACTGACTCGAAAATTCTCCAAGGCGGGGGAAGAATAAGTGGTGTAAATCACACCTCCGGAGCGAGCCATGGGAAAGTCATCAAAAGACAAGCGAGATGCGTACTACCGACTGGCAAAAGAAGAGGGATGGCGGGCACGATCTGCATACAAGTTACTGCAACTAGACGAAGAATTCAATTTGTTTGAAGGCGTCACCCGAGTCGTGGATCTCTGTGCTGCACCAGGAAGCTGGAGCCAAGTGCTATCCCGTGTGCTCATTAAGGGAGAAAAATTTGGACGGGCGGGGTGGCAGGAGAAGCAGGCTTCGACACGGAACTATGTTTTGGGTGCGGACAAGAAGAAGGAAGATGGTGTGGAAGTAGAGAAAAAGGAACAGGATGGTGGAGTCAAGGAAGAGAAACCAAAGCCAAGAGAAGGAGTACGGATAGTTGCGATTGATTTGCAGCCCATGAGTCCGCTGGAAGGTGTGACGACGATGCGCGCAGATATTACGCATCCTTCAACGATACCCCTTATGCTCAAGGCGCTCGACCCTGATACATACGATCCCAAGGCTACGAGCGGCTCCTCACCTGTGGACCTTGTGATTTCCGACGGGGCGCCCGACGTCACTGGTCTCCACGACCTCGACATTTACGTTCAGAGCCAGCTTCTGTGGGCAGCGCTCAACCTGGCCCTGTGCGTGCTCAAGCCCGGCGGCAAGTTTGTGGCCAAGATCTTCAGAGGCAAAGACGTCGATTTGCTGTTTGCGCAGCTGAAGATTGTATTTGAGCGGGTGCGCGTGGCCAAGCCGAGGAGTAGTCGGGCGAGCAGCATAGAAGCGTTCGTCGTGTGCGAGGGCTTCTGTCCTCCCAAAGGGTTCACGGCCAGTCTGGACAAACCGCTTGGCGCGGGTACGCAGCTGCCCACACCAGGAGCACCCGCTCCGTGCGATGCGCCTGGACCAGAAAGCAGGGTCTCGCGAAAAGTCAGGGACGACGGGGCAATCGAGATTGACCTTGGCGACGAGAGCGAAAACCAAGATGATGTTGAAGAAGGAGGTCATCGGTGGATAGCGCCGTTTCTGGCATGCGGTGACTTGTCGGCTTACGACTCTGATGCTACCTACCATCTGCCCAAGGATAGAGTCAGTCTGGACCCTGTGCAGCCTCCTACAGCGCCGCCGTACAAGAGAGCGCTGGAGATGCGGAAATTGGCCGGGGGTGCATACGGGAAGACAAAGGGTAGGGCTGAGCAGACAGCATCGTAATTGAGATTGAGTAGGCAGTAGACTACCGTGACAAGGGTGTATGTTTCATTTCTGCCATGACATGATTTGAAAGGCTAATGGATGAGCAGTGTTCGGCATACATGTGTTTGTTGCATACGTATTGACTACATGGTGGCACGATGTAAGCAATGTTCATCTATGCTATACTCTATGTTTTAGCGTTTGGCCAGTGTGCAGGTGGAGGCTTGGTGTGGTAAGTATGTATGTAAGCAAGTATACAAATACTTTGCACCCTGGCGCTGTAGAGGCGTTGTCTAAGTATGTATCAGGTGCATGGGCGTGGCGCTATCCTTGCACGTTATGTCGTAGTATTCTGATGAACCGGTTCACACATGGACACGGCTGCATGTGGCATTGCCGTCTAGGCTTAAAGGGGGGGGTTAGACTGCAAGGTACCGTGTTCTCTGTCGGGCCAGAGGTGCTAATTTCTTACATGTGGCACGCAGCAGGCTGGCAGTTGGCTGGTTGTGCGCTATGACGCGCAAAGAAGCAAAGAAAGCAAAATGTCACTGTTTGACGATCGTCGGCATGGGGTGGAGGGCGGGTGTCTCAGATATGTGCAGCGGCATTGGGCCAGCCGCCGAGGAGCAAGTGTGTGTTATGAAGGTGGTGTAATTAGGCAATTTGCGTGCGCAGTCGGGCTTGTACGGGACAGGCAATTGCCATGGCAAAGTCAATGTGGTGTGGTCCCAGGACAGTGGTCGGCAGAACGTTTTTTTTTTCTGGTGCAGCGGTAGCGTGCGATGGCGACGGGAGATGGACCCCAGCCGCGACGAGAGGGGTATGCTTGTTGGGCGAGGCTTGATTTTGCACGGGGCATTCCACCTCGTCTCACACCGTACACGGCCTTGGAGAAGGCGCCAATCGAGGGCGCTGGCGAGCGTAGTGCCGCCACGCAGCGGGCGCGAGTGTGAGTGCGAGGGCTTGTTGTTGAATGACGCTGTGCCCGCAACGTCTGGATAGTCGCTACGGGACTGCATATGCATCCACATGGTGGTGATGGATAGCACGCATGCGGGCCGAGCCTGGTGGCCTGCTGCTGGATGTGTTGTTTTGGGGGGGGGTGGACAGCATCAGCATCGGGGCGCTGTGCTGGGTGCAAGCGCGCCCTGCATCCGTAAGGGCGGATGCGTGCATGGCGCGTTTCACCAGGCCCGGTGTTTGGATCTGTGGTGCAGTGGTGATGGCATTTTATACGTCGGCGGAGGTAGCGCGAAGTGGGGGAGGGTGAAAGGAGGGAGGGAGTTAGTTGGTGTGGGAGCGGCGGGCTGGCCTAGGCGGCTCCTGCACCCAAACAGCCAGACAGTCAGACAGCCAGACAGCCAGGCACGGCGCATTACCCTTCTTGCAGCGGCGCCATGTACATAGATAGACATAGTATAGCGGCCAAGTGCTCGTATTGCGTCGTCGTGGGCTACTGCAGTGCAGGCGGCGTGGGCTGCGTGCTGGCTCGCTGCTCGTGCTCGGGCCTGCTATCTGTCAAACGCGGGCGCTGCACGAGTCGGCGGTGGAGGCGGCTCTACTTGCACGCTGGAAATGAGAGGAAAGGCCGACTGAAACTCATTTTGGGCATGCATGGTGGTCTTCGCCTGGGTGGAGATTGCGGCAGACTGTCTGGAGGCTAGCAAGGACATGGACATGGCCGACCCTCTCGCGGCAAAAGCACACGCTCAGTCGCTGTCTATCCATCCAGCCAGCCCATGCCCATGCCCATGCCCTCTCCGAGACTCCATCTTTCTTCTGCTGTCCGTCTGTAGCTGGAGTCGTAGCTAGAGTCGCAGCTAGCTGGAGCTGTGGGTGTTGTCGCTGCCACTGCTACTGCTGCCACTCCTCCTCCTCCTGCTGCTGCAGCTGCTGCATGTCCCGTAGCCGTCCACCGTGCATCGTCGCCCATTTCGCCCAATCCGCCTGGCCCTCGCCAGCCCGCAGTCGGCTTCCTCGTCTCCCTCGTAGTCGTCGTCGTCCTCTCCATCCTCGTCGTCCTCGTCACCACTACCACCACCACGCCCACTCACATCACCCGGCCGCGGCCACAGTGAAACCCCCTCAAACCCCAGGGCCGCATTGCGCCAGTCGCCGTCCACGCCGCAGCCAGTGGGCGCAGCCGGCAACATGGAAGAAAAGCCGTCGTCGAGGCGGCTGGTCAAGAAGGAGCGCCATCCCCCAATCGCTTATCTGAACAACAAGTCGACCACGTTGAAGCGTGCCCCAAGTGCTGCATCCTACTTTGCACCCCATCAAGGCCTTGGCACGGGCTCAGCGGCCTCGCTCTCGCCTGCTACCACACCGGGAGCCTCGTCGCTCCGCCGCAGCCCCTCGCTGACGCCCGTCCACGAGTACCAGAACCACGCGCATGTCGACCATCTGGCCCACTACCAGCTCCCGCCTTCGGTTGCCCACCTGCCCCCGGCCGCCGTCGGTCAGCCCTTCAACAGCATCGTCGAGGAGGCCCTCAACGCATCCAACGCCAACGCACCACGTAGGCCCGCTGGCCCACAGCACTCGCACACCGACCAGCCTGCCCGCTACCTGCGACAGTCGCGCTCCTTCACCTCCAACATGGACTCGACCACCCCGCCCTCGACTGGCCAGCCCAAGACCAACCGCTACAGCGATGGCGGCTCCGGCTCCCAGCCCACCATCGACACGGCAAAGAAGCGGCTGTCTGGCGGCGCAAAGAAAAAGGGAACTTTTTCCACCTTCATGAGCAGCATGTTGGGCTCCCCGCGCCGCCCAACCATCTCGACGCCCACCAACCCCATGCATGTCACCCACGTTAGCATCGACAACCAGACGGGCGAGTATACGGTGCGTGCCCCCCCTCCTACTCCTCCTCTCCAGAGCTATCCCACCCAACCCCAACCCCAACCCTCGAACCCCTCGTTCGCTAACACACCACACAGGGTCTCCCCAAGGAATGGCAGCGCATGCTGCAGCAGAATGGCATCTCCCAGGAAGAGCAGAAGCAGCACCCCCAGGCTGTCGTCGATGTGGTCAACTTCTACAAGGACAATGCCGAGAAGAACGAGGACGATACCATCTGGGACAAGATGGGCCCCGCGCACACTCAAGCCTACGCTTACCAGACTAACATTACCCAAAACAACAATAGCACCACCCCCACCTCCGCCTCCGCCAACAACAACAACAATACCGCAAACTACGGCACTGCCCAACCACTCAGTCCCCCGCAAAGCCCTCGCTTTCCACGGAACGACCAGTCTAGCTTCGAGAACCCCCGCGCTCCCCCGCCAATTCCTCGCAGTCTTACTTCGCCCGTCTCCAACCTTCCCCAGACTAATGTAGCAGCTCTCATACCGAACCGTCCAGCTCCCAAGCCCCCAGGTGCTTCGCCAGGCTCTACTGTTGCTCCCCCGTCCAGACCCCCTCCCCCGGCCCCAGGCCCGAATGCCACGCAACAAACGACCCCTCGCCAGGAATACGACCTTCCCCAGACCGCCTATGCTGCACCAGCCCCCTCTGCGAGCCCCAGTGGCTCATCGTCGTCACGCAGTCGAGCAAACACAACGGGAGGAACACCGCCGCGTTTCGACTCTCCAGCTGGCCCGCCCACCATCTCCCCCGCGCAGCAGTACCAGCAACAGCAGCAACAGGCAATGGCAATGGCTTCTTTCCAACAACCCAAGGCACCCTTGAGTAGGAGCGTTAGCCAGAGAGCCCCTCAGCCGGCACACGCGCCCCCACCAGCCCCCGTGCATGTACAGCCCACGCCTCAACAGGTGTTTGCGCAACAATCGGATCCCCAGAACATCCCGCTACCATCGCAACAAGCGCAGCAGCCGCAGCCCGCTCATGTAGGCCCGGCCCCACGCGCGCGCCAAAGGCCTCGACAAAGCCAGGGACCCGATATCGTTGCAAAGCTCAATGCCATCTGTACCAACGCCGACCCGAGAGAGAGATACCGCAACCTCAGCAAGATTGGTCAAGGTGCTTCTGGTGGTGTTTTCATGGCATTCGAGGTCCACACCAACAAATGCGTGGCTATTAAGCAGATGAATCTGGAGCAGCAACCCAAGAAAGACCTGATTATCAACGAAATTCTCGTCATGAAAAACAGCAAGCACAAGAACATTGTCAACTTCATGGATAGCTTTTTGCTGAGGGGCGATCTCTGGGTAGTCATGGAGTACATGGAGGGCGGAAGTTTGACAGATGTGGTCACTTTCAACATCATGTCAGAGGGTCAAATAGCCGCTGTGTGCAGAGAAGTGAGTACGCGTGCCTAGTTCCCAAGTTCTGAGGCTAATTCTGGCAGACATTGCACGGCTTGCAGCATCTACACTCCAAGGGCGTCATCCACCGAGACATCAAATCCGACAATATCTTGCTCTCTCAAGAAGGAAACATCAAGCTAAGTAAGTGACATTTTCAAATTGACATGTGACGTGCTCTAACATGCCACGCAGCCGATTTTGGCTTTTGCGCCCAGATCAACGAAAGCCACAACAAGCGCACCACAATGGTGGGCACCCCTTACTGGATGGCCCCTGAGGTTGTCACGCGCAAGGAGTATGGCCGAAAGGTCGATATCTGGTCACTTGGTATCATGGCCATTGAGATGATTGAGGGAGAGCCACCATACCTCAATGAAAGCCCGCTGCGTGCGCTTTGGCTTATCGCAACCAATGGAACGCCCACGATCAAGGAAGAACACGCGTTGTCACCAGTGTTCCGCGACTTCCTAGCCTTTTCGCTTAAGGTTGACCCGGACAAGCGAGCTAGTGCTCACGATCTCTTAGTGGTGAGTCGGGCGAACCAGACAAAAAAAAAAGGTCAAACAATAGCTGACATGTTAATAGCACCCCTTCATTCAAACTGCTGAGCCTTTGAGCACACTAGCGCCATTGGTGCAATCGGCAAGGAAGGCAAGAGCAGAAGAGAGGCGGAAGAAGGGTGGCATGTGAAGTTTTGTTTTGGTAAAGAGTGTTTTTTTTGACACCGGCACTTAGGTACGCTTGTTTTACAGAACAACGGTCACGGTTCGTCCAGTACGAATGCGAACTCGTTTACCAACTGGTATGGCAAGACGACGGAATTGTAGAGCGACTCGATGGCGCCAGGCAAACAATGGACGCTTGCGGTTATACTTCGCAGTACACACCACCAAACCGAGTGGTTGCATTCCAAACGATCAGGTTTGACGTTATAGCCGAGCCAGGGCAGCACGTTGGCTTTAGAGTCGGTATGCAAAGGTCGAAGCCTCATACTGCTCTTCTTCACTTGGAGCCCCGTGGATCGTCTTGGACCGAGTCAGCAATCCTTTCCGTCTTGTTTCAGCCGTTGTCTTCAGCAAGCACTACCTGTTGTCGTGTTTTTCAAAAGAAAAAAAGAGTCGAGTATCGATGCAGGCGCGCATCGAGGGAGTCATTATGTCACATTTGTTTGTGCTTCATGGGACGGATGCCATTATACGATTATTTATACACCATTTGCAATTTTTAGTGTCTATACGCTTTGGGAAGGGGCTACAGTCTTGTCACCTTGCGGCATTCTCGGCATACAAGAAAAAGCCGAATACATTCTATAGTTTTCTGTAAATGCAGTTGTCTGAAAGGTCATCGTGATTGCCGTGGAATTGAATACAGTAGTAGTTGGCCGCATGAATTGTGGCCCGTGATTGAGTGGCTGAGTAGGTAACCGCCACAGTGTTCGTCATCAACCCCCCGCTAAACTGCTTGGGCGGCGGCGCACGCCCGTCGGGCGGATAGCTCCAAGCCTCAAGCCTCTCAGCATACGACAGCAACAGCGCGTTGACTTGAGCTTTACCTTCCAGACCTCTACCTACAAAAACCGAGCATACAGACCTATTTCTTTTGCGATCCTCAAGGACGCCATCACACATTAATCTTCTAGACTCGCCCAGCGGACCCTGTGCTGCATTGCGCTTACTGCCGCCCGTCGTCTGACCCGCTTCAAGGCAACATCCGCACTTGAACATCGTCCATACTCAAGGTCCAGCAACGCCCAAAGCGACGGGGTAAACCGCCATGTTTCGCGGACAGTCGAACATCTTCGATGATGTTGTGGTCAAGGCTACTGACGAGAACCTCACGAGTGAGAACTGGGAATACATTCTGGTACGGTCACAACCCACGTCATGGGGTTAATGGCAAAGT